ATTCAACTCGTCCCGTGCCAACGCCCGGGAACGAAAAATTACCCTGGCGACGTACCCAACCCCTGCGCAAACGCGGGGCGCACATAGTTTAGGACACTTTATAAGGGGGGCGATGACGGAGCGAGGGTTACATATGTCTGCAGACGGAATTCGGGAGACTCGCAGGACACTGGCTTCAGGACAAGGACTAGATAAAGCTGATTAGTTGCAATCCCTGAGCAACCCTAGCCACTTCGAAAGCGGGGATTTCAGATCGCAGCCCCCCAGGGATGGCGAGGTCTAATTTGGGCCCGCGCGTGGCGTCACTGTGCTGGGCCCCCCAGCAAGCCTCGAAAGTGGCGACAGTTTCACAGATCGCAGCCCCCCAGGGATGGCGAGGTCTAATTTGGGTCCGCGCGTGGCGGCACTGTGCTGGGCCCCCCAGCAGGCCTCGAAAGTGGCGACAGTTTCACAGATCGCAGCCCCCCAGGGATGGCGAGGTCTAATTTGGGTCCGCCCGTGGCGTCACTGTGCTGGGCCCCCCAGCAGGCCTCGAAAGTGGCGACAGTTTCACAGATCGCAGCCCCCCTGGGATGGCGAGGTCTAATTTGAGTCCGCGGTGAGGTACCCACTGTGCTGGGCCCCCAGCAGGCCTCGAAAGTGGCGACAGTTTCACAGATCGCAGCCCCCCGCAAGCAAGACAGGAGGAGGCAAGAGGGAGACGGGACAGGAAGGAGGAAGTGGAGACCACACTGCTCTATTCAAAACGAATACCCAACCAAGGAGGGTTGGGAAAAATACTATCCCCCCCGAAAGTTGCACGAAGTGTAATTCGGAAAACGCCAGCCCGTCGGGTTTGGCAGTGTTCGTGTAAGACGGCGGCCAGCTGGGGGAGGAGGAGGCGGAGGATGGGGGAGGCGGAGGGGGAGGAGGAGGAGGGGGAGAAGGAGGAGGAGGAGGAGGAGGAGGAGGAGGAGGAGGATGGAGGAGGAAAGCCCCCGTGATCCATGCGTTTTCTGCGATCGCCCGACGTACCAGGGGGCGCCGGCGGCTCGTGAGAAGAGTGAGGAGGAGAGGGAGGAGGGATGGGGAAAAGGAGAGGGAGGAGGATCACGAGGAGGAGGAAGAGGATGATGATGATGCTGATGATGATGATGAGGATGAGGAGGAGGAGGGAGGAGGGAGGAGGAGGAGGAGGAGGAGGAAAATTGAGGAGGAGGAGAAAACCCGAGGAGGAGGAGCGAACGGAACTGGCAGGACCCGCGGGGGAGTACGATAATGATGATGATGATGATGATGATTGATGATGTTGATGATGATGGTGAGATGATGATGATGATGATGATGATGTATGATGTGCTGATGTGATGCTGATGAGTGGGTGTAATGATGATGATGATGATGATGATGATGATGATGATGATGATGATGATGATGATTATGATGATGATGATGATGATGACGACGATGATGATGATGACGATGATGACTATGAGGAGGATGAGGAGGACGAGGAAGAGGAGAAAGCAAAAGGAAGAAGAGGAGGAGGGAGAGGGGCGGGAATACATGGAGGCGAAAGGGAGGGGGATGGCTCCGGGAGCTGGGCGGCCAAAGGGGGGAAGGGGGGGGGCTTCAAGCCCCCCCCACCTTTTGCACCAAGGGAGGGAGGGGGGGGGGCTTCCAAAGCCCCACCCCCTTTCAAAGGGGAGGGGTGGCTCACCCCAGCTCCATTAAAAGGAGGGAGGGGGGGGGGTAGCTTGGAAGCCCCCCCCCCTTTCCGGCCACGAAAAAGGAGGAGGAGGGGGGTAGCTTCCGAAGCCCCCCCCCCCCACTGCAATGGGGGCGGAAACTCACCCGGCTCATTAAAGGGATGGAGGGGGGGGGTAACTTGGAAGGCGCCCACCCCCCTTCCGAACACGAAAAGGGGGGGAGGGGGGGGGGGCTTCCGAAGCCCCCCCCCCTTTAGCAAGGAAGGGGGGAGGGGGGTAGCTTCAAGCTGGGGCCCCCCTTTTAGTCTATCGGGCCCCACCGCGCGCTCTGTCATATATATATATATATATATATATATATATATATATATATATATGGACGCTGCGACCCACGCCCCTGAACAGGACCCCCTGGACGCCCTTGCAGAAGGATTCCTGTGCTTTCTGGGGCTCCTGAAGCCGCTGCTGGGCCTGGGTAACGAGCCCAAATCGGTCAGGAGTGCGGCCGAACGGACCCGCGAGAGTCCACAGAGGCCCCAGACACCCACCAGACGGCCGAAGACGACCCAGAGAAGACCCCCAAGAGGCATCCGAAACGCAGCAACATATGATTGCCGATGATGTTTGCATGCTTTGGGGATGCTCTGTCATTCGGTCTTCCGGGCGTCCGAAGCCGCCCATGAGGCCAGAGAATCGTCCCACATTTCAACCCATAGGGCTTCCAGGCAGTCCAAGACGAGCCCCAAGACCGCCCAACAGGGCCCCAAGATGACCCGAAGAGAGCCCCATGACGGCCCAAGAGGGCCCCAAAACGCCCCCCGAATCTTTCCAAATCATGCCCCCGTCGTTGGAAGCAGGGCGGCCCGGGGAAGCCCCCAGAAGGAACCCAGGAGGCCTTCAAAGGCCCCAACGAGCCCTGAAAAACTTTCGCGAGGCCCCCAAGAGGCTCTCCTCCGATGATCCTCGGCAAAAAGAGCTGAGGATGGGGACGCATTTGAAGCGTAGGGCGAGAATGAGGAAGAGGAAGAGGAGTCGTGAGGGAAGGAAAACGAGTAACATTATCATAACGACGATGCCAGAAAAAAAACAACAACGTGTTATCGCTTAAATGTCCCTTTATGCTCCATCCTGCCTGCATGCCAAACCTCAAGGATCAAAATGCATGCCGCGAAGCGCCAATGCAACCTTGCATACATAGATGTGTATATATATATATATATGTGTAGAAATGTAATATCGGCCAACGCGGTTGCAGCGGTTGGTGTGTCGCGCAATTCCTTTTTTCCCGTTACTTCCCTTCTTGCGAACGTATCATTCGGGCACCCAGACGCATCTAACCCAACATCCTTTTGTTTGTCACGCAACGTCCTTGCGTATGTTGACCTTCCGACCCGCAGATTGTCCAACCAGAACGAGGGTCTGGGTAGCCAGGCCGAATACCCCCCCCCCCTGGGCGCGGTTGTCCATCGGAAGCCGGGCAAGGGCTGCTAAATCCGTAGCTGCTAAAATCGACCTCCGGGAAGTTGCCTTCGTCCTTCCGGGAAGAAGCCCGTTGACTGTTTCGCGTGCCGCGCCTCATTCCGGTAAGTTGTTTTTTCTTCCGGGAGGGCCGTTTTAGCAGCCACGGTTTTAGCAGCCCTCGCCCAGCTCCCGAGTCCAGCCTCCCCCGCCCCGGGCGACCTTTCCACCCTGGCCCCCCAGGCGCTCCCCTGGCGCACGCGTGAGCGCGGTGGCGGAGTCGCGCGGCAGCACGTGCATGAATGCACGCATGCACGCATGCACGCATGCAGGCAGGCAGGCACAGACAGACAGACAGACAGACAGACAGGCAGGCAGGCAGGCAAGCAGACAGACAGACACACGTCCCCAGCTCTCTGATACGCTGCCTGTGTGGTGCCGCGGGTTGCTGTCCTGTGCCGTGCCCCAGAGTCTCTAACCTGGCGCTTCGTGGCGTCGTGACCCCAACTCTCAAGTCCGTTGCTCACGTGGCACCGTGCGGCGTCGTATCCCCAACTCTCCAACGTGCTGCCCGGGAGGTGCCGCGTGGTGCTGCGTGATGCCCCGTCTCCACCTCGCGCATATGTTGCCCGTGCACGCGTTGCCACGTGGCGTCGCGCCACCATCTCTTGGGTGCGTTAGCTGCCTTGCGTCATGGTGCTGTGCCTCGAATCCTCGGGCCCACTGCCCGCGGCGCGTGGTGCCGGGTGGCGCCAGAAAGACGAAGGTTGTAGCCATTGCCGTGCGGCGTGGTGCCCGTGCGGCGACGGCGAGGAGGAGGAGGAGGAGGAGGAGAGAGGAGGAGGAGGGAGGAGGAGGAGGAGGAGGAGGAGGAGGAGGAGGAGGAGGAGGAGGATGAGGAGGAGCATGAGCACATGAGCATGACTACGTGACAACGTCAAGAGGAGGAGGAGGAGGCAGGAGGAGGAGGAGGCAGTAGGAGGCGGAGGCGGAGGGGAGGAGGAGAGGGAGAAGGAGAAGGAGGAGGAGGAGGAGGTGGCCTTATGTGGCCGGCCTGGGAGAGGGGAAACGCCAGAGGGAGGGACCGGCTCGCGGGGGGGGGGGGAATCATCGAGCTGGCATCGGCGGCACACATCGCCGACGGATCGGCGTGACAGGCCCCCAATCATCCCTCGTCCTCCTCCTCCCCTCCCTGATCCTGCTCTTCCTCCTCCTCCTTCTTCCTCCTCCTCCCTCGCGACGGATCGGTCGGCGCCGACGGATCGGCGCGACATCGCCCACGGATCGGCGCATCCGCACGCCCCTGGGCGGGGTGGGTTTGTCGGGCCCCCCCCCGCGGCGATCGCTGGGCAACGGCCAACTGCCCATCGAGAACCTGAGAACGAAGTGCGAAACTCGTTCAGAACGACAAACCAAACAGAACAAACAGAACACTCAAAATTCAGAGCAAAACATCGTCTAGGTGCAGTCTTGCCAATTGGGGGTCGGTGCATCCCCCCCGGAGCCTATCCCCTCCCAACGTCGCGGGGTAGAGTTCGGGCTCGGCAAGAGCGCGCCCCATGGCGCCAGGGTCAGAGGCGGGCCGCCTTTGCCCTTCGTTCGACCGTCGAACCCCCTAGAGGCACGCCGCTCTTTTTTCCCACGAAGCGATACTAGTCAACAACAATATGCAGCACTTGCATGCATATACATACATATATATATATATATATATATATATATATATATGTATATATGTATATACATGTGTATATATATATGTGTATATATATATATATGTATATGTGTGTGTTGCGACCACTGGCAGCAAGAGACACAGTTCTCGCGAGAAGCAAAGCAGGGGAGAGTCATGTCCTCGTCGAGGCAGTCCTCCAATACCCTATCAATGGTCTCCAGCCTGCCCTTGAGGGCACCTTCCAGCGCAGGGAGGAGGGAGAGGTCTCCACAAGTAGCGATGGCAACGACGTTGACGACAGTGAACTCCAAAGCTGGCGATGTGGTTGTGACAGCACGGAGCAGTGTTGCAAAATCTAGCTGACCATGACAGGGAAATAACGCAGTATGCCTGCACATCATCACTGCATGTGTGGCCCGTGAGCTTCACCCGCTGCACGTCCCACCAGTCCTCCGGGAGCAGACGATTTAGCGCACAAGCTCTGTCGAACGTCCCCCCTTGACGGCAGAATGCCCTAAACAGACGATTAAGGTACGCGAGACATCGTTCGAGCACGATACAACGTGAAGGGTTGTATGTATATATATATATATAGAGAGAGAGAGAGAGAGAGAGAGAGCACTCGAGATAGGCATCAAGAGAGACAACGAGGGAGATCAGACGGGATCCCCCATGAGGGAGACCAGAACGGAGGTCACGAGGGAGACCACGAGGGAGCCCACAAGGAGGACCATAACTGATGGTCCTCCCTGGAAGGAACCCACAAGGAACGCCCTATGAGGACCAGAAGGGAAAACCATAAGGGAAAACCATAAGGGAAACCATAAGGGAAAACCAGAAGGGGGGACCCCATATGATACAGGAAAGCCATAAAGGGAAACCATACAGGGAGACCATGCGGGAAACCAGGCGGGAGACAGTACGGGAGAACGGAAAGGGGGGACCACGAGGGAGACCAGAACGAAGGATTGCAAAAAACCTAGGATTGCAATCCTTCGAACGAAGGATTGCAAAAAAACCCTTCGTTCGAAGGTTTTTTTTTGCAATCCTTCGTTCGAAGGTTTTTTTTGCAATCCTTCGTTGAAGGGAGACCCGAAGGGTGATCATACAGGAGACCATCTGGGAGACCGGGCGGAAGACCAGGCGGGAGATCAGAGGGGGGACCGTACAGTGGCGGTCGATGCGCAGGAGACTCGCCGCAGGGAACACCCCGACCCTGCAGTCCGCCGAGGCCTCTTGGCCCAGGGTTGGGCTTCTTGCACGCCGGCCGCGGACGCAGAAACCCAGGGAGAGCCCGGCTGGGGCGCGCCCCCGCGAGAGGCCCCGGGGATTCCGGCGCCAACGCCGACGACCTCCAGCCGGTTTTGGGACCATGCGGTGAGGGAGGAGGAGGAGGAGGAGGAGGAGGAGGCGGAGGAGGAGGAGGAGGAGGAGGAGGCGGAGGAGGAGGAGGAGGAGGCGGAGGAGGAGGAGGCGGAGGAGGAGGAGGAGGAGGAGGAGGACAGAGGGGAGACCAGCAGGGAGGCCAGGAGGGAGGTCCTGCGGGAGGCCGCACCCAAGGGACCACGCGCGAGACCCTGCGGGAGACACCGCGGGCCACGAGCCGCCGCTGCCGGACTCGTGAGGGCTCACACGGGCCTGGAATGCACACACGTAGTGTGCACGCGTGTGTGTACTGTCGGGGCGCTGACCTAAGGAACCCTAAATAAGGAACGAGGCCCCTTTTCTCCAGAAGTTGAACTTCGATTTCCCTTCGAAAGCCTGAGAAAAGCGTGGGGCAAACTGCGAAACAATTAAGGAACACGGAGCCCCTACCCAACGAAAAGGGTTCCTTCTTCAGCGCCCCGACTGTACCAGTCCATCGCGAGCGCTTCGCGCGCGCTCGGGTTCTACTTGGTCACCCCCTCGACCGCACACTCGAACGCACTGGATGCGCCGAGTCTTGAGGCAGTAGCTCGCGCCAGTGGCCCTCGTCCCCTTTCTTTCCCCTGACCCATGCTGCTGGCCCATTCACAAGAGAGGGGGGGGGTAATACTCGAGGAGGCAGGAGCGAGGGGACCAGTGGACCGCGGGAGGAGAAGGAGTAAGGAAATCAGCGAGAAAGAGAACGAGAGAGAGAGAGAGATGGAGAGAGAGAGAACTTAGAGAGAAAGAGAGAGAAATTAGAGAGAAAGAGCGAGAGGGAGAAATTAGAGAGAAAGACAGAGAGAGAGAGATGGAAGAGGGCAGAGCCAGAGGGAAGGAGAGAGGAGGCAGGCGGGAGCACGAGCGGAGTGGAAAAGGCGGCGGGGAAGAGGCGCAGGGCCACAGACGGAGAGAGGAGAGCAGGGAAGGCAGGGGCGGTGGAGAGAGGAGGTGGACGGAAGCCAGAGATGGGAGGAGGAGGAGGAGGAGGAGGAGGAGGAGGAGGAGGAGGAGGAGGGGAGGTGGAGAGGAGGATGGATGGAGAAGGAGGAGGATGGGAAGACAGAGATGGGAGGAGGAGGAGGAGGAGGGTACATCTGAAGCCCGGGGCGGAAGCGTTCGGTGCGTGCCCTGTCCGAGCCGACCCCTATCACGATCCTCCTCCTCCTCGTCCTCCTCCTCCTCCTCCCCCCCTCCTCCCCCCCTCCCTCCTCCTCCCTCCTCCTCCTCCTCCTCCTCCTCCTCCTCCTCTTCCTCCTCCTCCTCCTCCTCCCCAGCAGGAACGGATCGGAACGCCTCCCGCGCAATGGGGATCGGGCATCTTCTGGACCATGGGGGGGGCAAGAGGCAAGGTCCCGCAAGAGGCCCCCAAGACTCCCAAGGTACGCCCAAGACCCCCCGGGAGGACCTCCAGAACCCCCAGGGGCTTCGAAAATGACTACCTACCAGACCACCCTAAACCCAACCCGAAGACCCGAATTTGACCTGAATTTCGGGTTTGGGGGGGTACGGGTTGTATCTGTTGTTTCAATATTCCCCGACCCCCCACTGGAAATGGAGGGCCAATTGAGGCCTTCGGGTTGGGTTGGGGTGGTCTGGTGGGTGGTGAGAAAGGGCTCCAAGAGGCCGCAACCTGGGACTCCAGGAGACCCCCCAAAAGCACGCCTAACAGACACGGAGGAAGAGGAAGAGGAAAACGGATCAGCAACAACAACAAGCAGGCAGCTCGTCGGGAATCGTCAAACAACATATACGAAATCGGAAGACACAGAACTTCTCCTCTGGGGATCGTGGAATGGCGTAAACCTCTTGAATAAAACGACGACGACCTCTACGATTACTACTATTGCCCCTCTTTCTCCCGCTCCTCCTCCTCCTCCTCCTCTCCTCCTCCTCCATCTCCTCCTCCTCATCTCTCCATCATCATCATCATCATCATCATCATCATCATCATCATCATCATCATCATTCATCATCATCATCATCATCATCATCATCATCATCAGCATCATCGTCATCATCATCATCATCATCATCATCATCATCATCATCATCATCATCATCATCATCATCATCATCATCATCATCATCATCATCATCATCATCATCATCATCATCATCATTCTACGTTGCCGTCTCCCCCTCATCCTCCTCCTTCTCATCCACCCGCCAAGGTATCAGCCCTGGCTTCATCATCACCAGCTACCTGAAACAATCCGTTGCACTTCGGTGGCAACTCACGGGAGACTTCCATTCCATCTTGTCGGCTTTTGCGAATCGACGGTAGTCGACGCTAAATCGACACCAATCGACGCTAAATCGACGCTAACCGACGCTAAATCGACGCTAAATCGACACCAATCGACGCTACATCGACGCTAAAGACAGAAATACTCCGGGAGGTCGGGCCCGGGAGCTGGATCTCGGGGGCGGCCACGAGGGGGGTGATGGCTAGGGGGGTGGATATCATGGCGCGGGTCATGACATTTCCTCAGATTTCGTGGCGCCTCCTTTTCTTTCATTACGCCCCTGCGCCCCCCCGTGGGCCGCGCACATGCTGCCGGCCATGCATGACTTGCGCCCCCCCCCCCTTGGACGCCCCCTCTTGGTCGCCCCCGGCGATCTCTCCGTTTGCTCAGATCTCGCTTCACTACGTAAGATAATAATTTGGGTTAAAGTCGGACCTACGAGAGAATCGCACCCTTCAAGAAGATGAGGCCCTCCGCTGGCCAAGACACGCGGAGCATCCAAGGGTACCCTCCCCAGGATGCACAAGAACGTCCAACAAGCACGAACAACATTAGAGTACTCTCCCGAATCGACCAATTGATAAGTCGGGCATGTCCCCCTGCAGGCGGATTCTGGATGACAGATAAAATACAAAGCAGTCAAATGATACCCCCAAAAATGGTCAACACTTGCCAAAAAGCCGCCCCCGCGGGCGCAGGAGCACTGAACTTGCCGTTCACGTGCTTCTGCATGGTCATGAGGTCCTTGAGCGTCGCAATCTGCGTGCCTCGGAGGTCCAGCACGATGTCCATGAACTCCTCGCCGCGGCTGGGGGGGGGGGGACTCCCCACCGGCCTTGGGTCGGGCATGTCCCCCTACAGGCGGATCTGCGACGAAAAACCAGAAAGATACCCCAACAAATGCTCAGAAATTACAAAAAACAGTCCCAACGTCGTCCCCAGACTATTATGTGACTATTGTTGCATGTTCCTCCTGTAGAGGGGCATGCCCGACTGAACACCGGCCCCGCTCGGCCCCACCTCCCAAAGACGCAGCCAGGGCGAAGCCAAGATCGGGTCAGGATGAATCGAGAACCTCTGAGATCCGGCGGCTCTGGAGAATGCATCGGGCGCCGCGGCCTCCTCAGCGCGCTCCAGAACGCTCTGAGAGCGCGTCGGAGCGCTCTGGAGCGGACTTGTCCTCGTCCTGGCCCCGTCCGAACCTCCTCGTGGGCATCGCTCGGACGTCCGTTCCCCGTGTTTGTGTTCGGTTTCGTGCGTGTGTCTTTGTTTCGCCAGGTGATCAAGGATGCTCCTCGATGGCCCTCGCCGAAGGAAAAACATGCACACGTCCAAGCGATGCCAGGTCCTAGAAAATATCCCCAGGACCAGGCCGCGCCAAGCCCACACCCCTACGGTAGGTTCGCGTCGTGTCGACCAGCGGCGACCCCGCCAGCGGCGTTCAACGTTGAACGCCGACGGCGGCCCAGAATCGGTCGATGTTGAACGATCGGACGTTGCGGAGACGGCCGATCGTTCAAGGTTGAACGATCCAGCGCGGTGTCGGGAACCAACGCCGGGGTCGACACGGCACGGACCTGCAGTAGCAGCAGTGACGGCTCACCGGCACGCACCGCCCGGCTCCCCCGGCGCTCTGCAGATCTGACCACGAGCGACCACCTCCCTTTGGTTATCGACCGCGGCCACGCCGGAGAGCTCGCGCGGCTCTCCGGAGGCACGGCGCTGCTGTTCGCCGCACCGAGATCCGTGATGACGAGAGTAGCCGTCGTTGCAGCAGCAGCAGCTGAAGCAGCAGCAGCAGCACAGCCAGCAGCAAAATGCAGCAGCAGCCAGCGGTGGAGCTGGCAGTGCCACTGACCAGCAGCAGTGGCAGCAAGCAAGCAGTGATCATGCGTCCTGAGGGACCGATCGGCAAGGGCACTCGTGGCTCCTGCCATAGTTCACTGCGACGAACTTATCGCCAGCCGTCCTCACGATCTAGTAGAGGCGGCAGTTGCCACGATAGCATGAACGAACAAGGAAATCGTTGCAGGCGTCGTAGTTGTACCAGCCTATCAACAGCTGTGGCAATAATACTACTAATAATAATACTAATACTAATAATACTAATAATAATAATAATAATAATAATAATAATAACAATCATATTAATAATAATATGCATGATAATAACAATAATAATAGTAACAATAACTCGAGGGACCCACGAATCCCGTGAGAACATGAAGCCATCTACTACGTCAGCATGTCTTCCATACGCATGCTGTCCAACACTGTGGTATAATGATCTTACGCCGTAGTGTGTGGTCCGTGGTGTGTGTCTGTATGTGTGTGTGTGTGTGTCTGTGTGTCAGTGTGTCTGTGTGTCTGTGTGTCTGCGTGTATGTGTGTATGTGTATATGTATGGATTGTGTGGGCTATGTGTATGTCTGGATTATGTGTCTGTGTGTCGGTGTGTCTGTGTGTGTGTGTCTGTTTGTATATGTGTCTCTGTGTCTCTGTGTCTCTGTGTCTCTGTATCTCCGTCTCTGTGCGTTTACGTCTCTTTTGGGAGGCCTAGAAATGGGCACCAACACCAACACAGGGGGTTGCCTCCACAGGGGGAAGACGATCCTCGATTTCGGTGTTGGTGGCAATATTTCGGCCACCTTGGAAGCCAGAATATTACCACCATCACCGAGATCGGGATCTTCCTCCCTCGGTGGATGCACACCGCCGACATTGGTGCTGGTGTCAATCTCTAGACCTGTGATCTTTGTCTCTGTGTGTCCGTGTCTGTGTCTGTGTCTGTGTCTGTCTGCTTGTGTGAGTGCTCTGTGTGGGATTGTGTTTCCCTTTCCGATGTTGTACTGTGACATACGGGAAACCTAGTATGCGTTTATTGTATACGCTTCTCCCGCTCCTCCTCGTCTTGCTCATCCTCCTCTGCCGCCTCCTCCTCCTGCTGCTCCCCCTCACTCCTCGTCCTCATGTTTCTTTTTCCTCCCCCTCCTCTTCCTTCTCCCCTCCTTCTCCCTCCCCCTCGCTCCTCCTCTCCGCACCGCGCCTACATGCATGAAAGCAAGTGCCACATGCACGTGTCCCTGACACACGTTCCATACAGGCCTTGGAAGCAATTAGCGAACACTCATGCCACATACATTTGTCAATACCCGTCCCCCTCCCCCAATGTTCAACGTTGGCGGCAGGTCTGATGAGTTGCAGGTCGACCGCGATATTCCCCGCGCATGCCAACTTTATGTTCGGGGGAAAAAGGGAGTGTCCATTAATTGTTTCCCTCTACCGTACTTCCGCCTCGAGCACGCATTCCTACATGTGTCGAGATCCACTGGCCGCACGTTCGACAAACTACAGTCACGCCCACACACGTGAGAGCACGCACTAAATGCACGCGTGCAGGGCGTACGCTCGATGGCCCCCGTCAGGGCAATCGAGACGCGTAGAGACTCCGCTGCCCGCACGCTGGAGACCTCCCCCCTCCCCCCCTGAGCGCCTCCAGACGTGAAGACAGCCGCCAAGTGCACACACGCGCCAGACGAGTGCTCGATCCCCCCGCTCTGGGCGCCGCTCTCTCCGCGCGGGAGCGAACCCGCCGCGCGCACGCTCGATATCCCCCCTCCGCGCGGAGCCCGCACGCGCGAAGACGCATGCCGTATGCACGCTGAGGCGCATGCTGGCCACGCCCCTGCCCGCCGCCGCTCGGCCGTCCATGCCCCGCGCACGTTTCGGGGCTTCGCGCGGGCTTTTTCTTTTGGCCCGATGGCCGAGGATGCTCCTCGAAGGTGCTCGCCGAGAAGAAAAAAACGCGCACACGTCCAAGCGATGCCAGGGGCCTGCCCCCCCTCGCGCACGCGAGCGACGAGAGGAAGCGGGTCTTGCGCGAGATGGCACAGCGGCCTCACGCGGCGGCTTGCGCGGGCCGCCAGTGCGGCACGCCACGTTGGAGACGAGGGCGCTTACGCGCGACCCTGCGCGGGCAGCTCATTTTCTGCGTCGGCCACGCGATCTCTACGTGTGAGAAATCAGCCGGCCGCACCGACGTCCAGGGCACCCTCCCCCAGGATGCACACAAGGGCTTCCAACCAACACGAGAAACACTAGGGCACCCTGCCCGAACCGACCTCGATCTCATGCCTCGGTCCGACCGCACGCTCCAGTGCTGCGTGCCCCCCCCCATCGCGCAGGTGACTCCTACGCGTGCACGAGACATCCGCCGGCCGCACCGACGCCTGGGGCCCAAGAGCCTGGCCGGCAAAGAGAGCCCTGGGCCACCGCCCGCACACTGGGGTCCACAGCAGTTGACACAGCCGGAGTCGTGATGCAGTTGACAAGTCATTGATGCACTCCTAGGGCGACGCAAGCTGTTGAAGAGACCCTGGGACAAAAAAAAAGGATGCCCCATGTTTTCCATAGTTCCTTGGTTTTCGTCTTCCCCCCACTTCCCATATTTTTCCATATTTTCTGGGAGACGACGATGAATTGTGCCTGTGTTTTTTCCCTCCTGAGCTGTACACAGCCACTGCGCCATGGCCAGGCCCGTCCTGAGCCCAGCAGCGGTGTACACGCCACGCCCCCCTGGCGTTAGCCAGGACGGCGCACGCACAGCTCCGGGGCCCAGGAGGGGCCCGGCAAGGGCGCGCTGGATGCGTAGAGATTTCGCCGCCCGATAGTCTTAAGTCGGGCCTGTCCCTCTACAGGGGGGAGATTCAAAAATAGTAAGACAAATAGTCTGGGGACTATTTGTTGAGTATTCGTTGACCACTTTGGACTATTTTTGTTAGTACTTTTTATTTCGTCGAAAATCGCCCTGTAGGGGGACACGCCCGACTTAACGATAGTCGGAGTCGTGATGGGCTTGACAATCACTGATGCACTCCGTCGTCATCCAAGACCTGATCAACTTTGCGCTGGATGCGGCCGCCGCTCGCAAGAGTACGCCGCCCCAGGAAACGCGTGGTTGCAATGGTTATGTGCGGATGCGCCTCCTGCCCGGGTGCTCCTGGTTGAACTCGCGCAGAACTCGCGCAGTACACGCTGATGTGGCCCCAGTTCAACTGGGGCCACATCAGCACTGCCACCGTCATGCGAAAAGAGCCAGAAAGGGCAGAACCAGCAAGGCTGCGAGGGTAACATGGAACCTAGAAGAACATCCCCCAAAGGCCCCACAAGAGGGTCCGAGGGGCTCCCCGCACAGTGCCCGCAAGACGTGTTTCAACTGTCCACGGGCACCGGAGCTCAGGAGGAACAGCCAACCAGAGTGACTGGCAGCACCGCGCCCCTGTGCAGTCTGGAGCCAGCTCGAGCACACATGCCGGTATCCTCCGGCAGACGATGGGGCCGACTTCGATCGACCCCCCCTAGCGGCTGCAAAGAGAAAGGATGAGAAGCAGGCGGAGGAGAATAACGACGCCGGAGGAGCGAGGGAAGGATGGACCAGAGGATCTAAGACGACAGAGGCGGGGGGAGGTGGAGGAGGAGGAGGAGGAGAAGGAGAAGGAGGAGGAGGAGGAGGAGGAGGAGGAGGAAGAGGAGAGGAGGAGGAGGAGGAGGAGGAGAGAGGAGGGAGGAGGAGGAGAAGAGGAGGAGGAGAGGAGGAGGGAGGAGGAGGAGGAGGAGGAGGAGGAGGGAGGAGGTGGAGGAAGGAGGAGGGGGAGGAGGAGGAGGAGGAGGAGGAAGCATGAGCAAGGCGTACCCGGGGCCCCGCTGCAAGGCCGCGCAGCTGCAGGCGGGAGGCGCCTGGCCAGACGAGGCGTCGGGGGCAACATGTCGGCTAGGCGTTTTCCAGGGTCTCAGCGGCAGCCCTCTTCCCGGCTCCTCCTCCTCTTCTTCCTCCTCCTCCCCCCTCCTACCCCCTCCTACCCCCTCCTCGTCCTCCTCCTCCTCCTCCTCCTCCTCCTCCTCCTCCTCCTCCTCCTCCTCCTCCAGGCTGGCACGGCGCCCTCGGGCCCGCGCGGGGCAGCTGGGGGGGGTTGGCGGCGAGGCGAGGGGAGGACGCGAGAAGGAGCGGGCCTTCCCAGGTCTGGGCTCGTCGACCCAGAGGCGGCGGGGCTTCTCAGAAGCCCTCCGGCCTTCTCGTCTCAGAGGTGCTCGGTGCCTCTTCGGGGGAGGCTTCGAAAACGTCGCAGGATCGGCGACTCCAAAGGGTGTGGTTTGCAAAGGGTGTGGTTTGCAACCCGCACCCTGGGGAACATCCTGGGGGGCACCCTGGGTGGCGCGCGAGGACCTCGATAGAGTTCTCCCGCGCCCCGGGCAGGCCCGACGACGACAGCGTCGTGCCCCCCAGGCACCAACGGTGCCGATCGCAAACCACACCCCGGCGTACCCATACCCTTTGTAGTTGCCGACAGAAGGCCAGGGGACTTCCGAGCCTTCTCACAGGGCCCGCCCCTTCTCACTTCCCCCCGGGGTCGCCGCCGATGTGAGGAGGAGAGCAGGTGGAGCAGGCGAAAGAGGGAGCTTCACGACCCCCCTCGGGAGGCCATCATGGGGCCGTCTTGAGGGCGTCGCCGGCCGTCTTGGGCGCCCCTGGGGGCGTTATGGAGCCCTGCTAGGCCGTCCCGGGGCCTTCCTGGGGGCCGCTGGGCGCGTCCTGAGAAGGTGTCGGAGGCCTCGTGGGCCGTCGTGGAGTGTCAGAGCTCGGTACAGGCAGCACTGCTGCTGATCAGCACGGCGTTCCTCTACCTCTGGCCCAAACAGAAGCTACCGGTTTGCCCGGCCCACCTTAGACTGTGAGGATCCTAGGGGGAAAGCCGCACGAGTGTTCCCTACGGCTTGCTGCAGCGATCCTAAGACCTGATGTGGATCATCTGATTGGTCGAACCAAACTACAGCTTTGCTACGCAGCTGGATCAATGCTCAGCTTAATAGCTTGGCTCATCTCCAAGCGTAATCGAATTTCCAGTCTGAGCATTAGCTGTGTCGCTAGAAGCGCTAGCTCAAGTTCCTGACAGTTTTAGCCCATGCGTCACCGAGCATGGCAGCATCATGGCTTTGACGAGCTCGGCTTCATGATTGAATGAGTTGTCTTCCAAGTTAGCTATGCTGTCGGATACCGAAAGATGCTCGGCACAACTCCCCATCAGCACTTGTCAGAGACTGGCGGCTAGGCACGAAGTGCTAACTTCAGAAGGCGGTAGCGGACGATAACACGGGCCGTGACGGAGAGGAGGTGCGCTGCCGAGGATGGGACGCGGAGAGCGCCGCCAGACTCCTTGAAGGTGATGGCCTTCGGCTGTCCGTCCTCCTGGAACCAGTCCTGAGGGGCAACGTCAGGGGGGGGGGGCAGCTCAGGGGGGAAAATATCGACCTGGAATCGGCGATACGTCGCCGATAGCTCGGCAATAGGCCCCCGATAGCCAGTCCGCACGCTCCTGGGCGGGGTGGGCTATCGGCCCCCGACCGGCGATATATGGGTGATTGGGGTTCGATGCATCTCTCCTGAGGAGGGGGAGGAGGAGGAGGAGGAGGAGGAGGAGGAGGTGGAGGAGGAGGAGGACGAGGTGGAGGAGGAAGGAGGGAGCGAGGGGGGGGGGAGGAGGAGGAAGGAGGAGAGGAGGAGGGAGAACGGGAGGAGGGAGAGCAGGAGTAGGAAGGAGGAGGAGGAGGAGGAGGAGGAGGAGGAGGAGGAGGAGGAGGAGGAGGAGGAGGGTCATGACTCGGACCTCCGGCGGTCGTTCGGGACACCCCGAAGACGCTCTCAGCGAGGCGCAGCTGCTGGAGAGCGCCCCGAAGTTGCAAAGCCGCCGAGAACGCCCGATCACCTACGGCAGGTTCGCGTCGTGTCGACCCCAGCGTTGGTTTCTGACACCGCGGGGATCGTTCAACCTTGAACGATCGGTCGTTTCCGAAACGTCGAAATCGTTCCACATCGAACGATTCTGGGTCGCCCGCGGCGTTCAAGGTTGAACGCCGCTGGCGGGGTCGCCGCCGGTCGACACGACACGAACCTACCGTATTCCCATTAACTGGGGAAACCAACAAGTACCGCTACCGCTACTCCGAACTTCTTACTAATCGGCCGGGGGGTGGCAAACGTGAAAACGCCGCGCGGCCAGCCCCCCCCAGCACCACCCCCGCGCCCCAGCGGGGAAGGGAACGAACCCCTGACCCCCCCTGGCACCCCCGCGGACGCGCCGCGGCCAACCGCCCCCGGGCACTCCAAGGGGGGGCGGTTATTAAATGATCCAGGGGTACTCTCCCCGGACCTCTCCTGGGGTGGGTTATTACCAGAATTTCGAAGCGAATCCAGCGGTGGCGACGAGGGTGCCCCTAAGAGGCACAGGAGTGGGACAAAAACGGAAAAAAAACGGTAGCTGTGTGGATACCTTTTCCAAGTCTGACTGACGTTGCCCCCGAAGTCCTGGGCGAAGTCGATCATGCCCTCCGGGTCCACCTGAGCGACGATCAGAAACAACTGTTGCGCTAGATGGCACGGTGACCTCACGCGGCGGCTCACGCGGGCCGCCAGCTCTGCACGCCACACTATAGACGAGAGCGCTTGCGCGCTACCTCACGCGGCAGCGCACGCGCAAAAATATCGGCGCGGACGACACCGTGTTTTTTTTGCACCGCTCACTTATTTCTATTTCCCCTGCCAACCAAGGTCAGTGACCACTAGCAGGCTGCAAACATGCCTCATGCGAACAAGAGGTGCAAAAGAGGTGCACACACTCAATTCTGGAGCCCCTGGGGCCCTCTGGGCCTCGTGATGGGTGCTCTGGAGCCCGTGAGGGCCTCATTGGACATCCTAAGGGCATCTCGGGCCAGAGGCACTTCTAGCAACACCCGGTGAGGGGGGCACGCTTCTCCGAGGCTGCCTCTTGGAGGGCGCCGGCCTTACACCTATAGGTTCGCATGGCGCCGACGTCGGCGCTGGCTTGGGGAGCAAACCACGATGTGAAGATCAAGACTCGGAAGTCCGCGCGGATCTCTCGGATCGGCACTGGGGCCCCCTCCCTGGCCGCGAAGCGCGCCAGGGGCGGCGCCAGAGGCGCTGCCAGGGGCCCCACTGTCGATCCGAGAAAGCTGCGCGGACCTCCGAATATTTACCCTCGCATGAAAATCGCCCCCACCCCCCACATGATAAAATTTAGACCAATTCGACCGTCAAACGACGCGTGACTTGCAAGCGGAAGCTGCTCGACGGTCAACCAACGACAAAGCCGCGCAATTCCATGCGCGCGGCGCGCTGCTGCTTTGCCCATCCGCGTTTGAACTTGGCGTTGCCTTGTGCTGACGCGCGGTCAATGCCCAATGCCAGTGCGGATGTTTGCCCTCGCCGGCGCTGGCAAGAGCCCGAAACGGCGCCTGGGGCCCGCCGCGCACGGGCGCGCGTCGACGAGTTTGGATCCCCCAAACAGCAAAGCTTCGGCACCAGGCGCAACACATTACATAAGCTCCAAATAAGATCGATCTAAACTTCTCCGAAGCGGAAAATCTCGCGCGGGAGAGCCCCGAATATATCATACAAACAAAAATCAGTTTTATATAAAAACCAAGAAATATATTGGACCAGTTACCTCCAGAGAAGCGCTTCGGTTCTAAATTTTTCCGTCGGCGGGGTGATGGGGGGGCGACAGAGGCGGGGGCGGCGGCCCTGAACTGGGCCAGCGGCGCTGCCGTGCGAGGGACGGCGCCGCCGTCGCCGCAAACTGCAAGCCGCGGCCGTGGCACGCGCGGCCCCGGGAATGCCGGCGCGGGCGCGGCCGCGTCGAGCGGGCCCAGGACGTCGCTGCGCGCGCGAGGCCCCCCTGCGGCAACTGGTAATGGCCTCGCCTACAGGGCGCCTACACATACGCACATTCGCCATAATGCAAAACGCTGGCATGTAAAATGCATAGTTGTGGGGACTGGGGTCGGTTTCCCACTGTTCAATTTATGCTTCTTCCTTCCTCTCTTAGAGAGCAGTCTCACTCGCGGCGATAACGAGCGTGATGGGGGGGAGGGGGGGGGAGCAAGGAGGGCGCATAACGGAACGCTCCCGCCCCCACCTGAACAGAATGTGGTGCCGGACGCACTGCGGCAGTGCTGGGGACGCACTGCGGGGGAGGGAACGCTACGTTATGGGAAGGGGAGGGAGGGGCATAACGCTCGTTATGGCCCAAATGGTAAAACAACACTCTCTTACAGCGCTATTCTGTGAGAAGACGGGAAAAAACTGAGGGGGATGATGGCGCGAGACACCATGCAAGACGATTGCCCAGGCCAACTCGGCAGGCTGTCCTGCGAGCGAGGACGACGTCGGCGCGGCGCTGGTCTCTGCCACTTCTAGCGGAAGAAAAAAGCCGCATGAACATCAACCGTTGGCGCCCCGCGCGGATTTCTTGGATCCGCGCTGGACCCCCCGCCCTGGCGCGCGGAGCGTGCATTGGGGGGGCGGCGGAGGCGCCGCCCAGGGGGGCCCAGCGTGGGTCCGAGAAGAAACCGCGCGGAGCGCCAAGAGTTTCTGCTCATGCGGTTTCTTCTTCTTCTCCGAACTTCGTGGCTCCTTCGGCCCCCGAAGGGTCGGTGGCCCTCCGACGGCGCGGACCGCGCGATGGCCGGCCGACCTGGCTGTGCTCGCAGCAGCGCTCCGCGGAGGGCGCTGCGCCTGCGTGCTGGAGCGCAGGCGCGGGGCGGTGCCCGCGCCACGCCGCGGCGACGCGCCGCCGGGAGCACGACGCCGGGCACGGTGGCGCGGGCGGCGGTGGTGCGCAGCATCTGATCGGCATGTCTTCCACCACCACCACCACAAGTTGGAGGGGGAGGGGGTCCTCCTCCTCCTCCTCCTCCTCCTCCTCCTCCTCCACCTCCTTCCCCCCTCCGGCTTGATTGCGATGGTGGTGGAAGACAGGCCCATCAGCATCGCCCAACGCCGTGCGGTGCTGCGCTTTGTATGGTGGCCGCAGCGTGCAGTTCCAGGGAGGCGAGCGAGTGCACGAGGAAGACGGTGGGCCACAGCCGCGGCACGTGCTGGCTGCCCGTGCGAGGCCCGACACGAGCACTCGCAGCACTTCCACGGGTTAACCGGGCGCCCTTGTCGGTGCTGGCTGCGCAAGCTCGAAGGGCACTCCGCCGAGCCCCGCTGGCCAGAGGCGACAAGGCGTGTGAGATGTTTGGCTCAAACCCCCCGTTCCCTCCCAAGGTCGATGGCGCGCAAACATGGATTAGCGATCCATGGATTTGGCGCGCGCTCGCCAGATCCATGGGTCGGGGGAGGTGCCCTCCCCAAAATGCGGCCGGTGCCGCATCGTCCGGCGTCGGAAATCTGCGATGTCCCATGGAAACGGGACCCGTCGCTAATCCATGCCCCCTGGATCCATGTTTGCGATCGCCTCCCAAGGGGGGGGAGGCCCGGGGCAGGGTGGGAGCGGGGCGACGAACTCGTCAACGCACCCGCGGGGCCCTCGTAGCCTCGAAGTACAGCCTCCGTGGTCCCCAAGCCCAAGACGCCTTCCAAACTGGCTCAGGAAGGGGCTTCGACACGCCCAGGAGGCCCCCAGAACATCCACGGTGTCTCAAGACGGCCCCCCGAGGCCTAGAAATTCCTTTGGGGGCCCATGTGGGCCCCCAAGAGGGCCTCAAGAAGCCAACATCGCGACGTTCCTGTTGGTTCTTGAGTGTTGTTTGTGCTATCGCCATCTCGCGCGGCCCGAGGGCCCCCCCAGACGAGACCCGGATGGCTCACGAGGCCCCCGAGAAGGCACACGAGGGCCCCATGGCTGCCCAAAAGTACACGGGACGGCCACGACAACGCAGGCAGGGGCCCAAGAGAGGCCCAAGAGGGGGAACTCGCTGAGCCCCTGGCAGCCCTTCCCCACAAGATGGCCCCTAAGACCCCCAACATGCCCCTTAGTTTAGGTCGGGCGTGTCCCCCTACAGGGGGCTTTTGTACGTCAAATAGAGGATACCCAACACATGCGCAAACATGCTGAACAAATACTACAAAAATCGTTCCCATACTTTTTTTCAACTATTTTTGAATATTCCCCCTGTAGAGGGACACGCCCGACGTAACCCTAAGTGGGCCCCCAGAGAGCCCCAAGAAGCCCATAGCGGGCTCCCAAGGATCCCAGGAGCCCTGAACAGGCTCCCAAGAAGTCGCCCACTGGGCCACCGAAAGGAACCCAAGAAATCCGGTAACAAGGGCGGATGAAGAGCAGGACGAATCCGCAACAACCATACGCAAGCAACACAACGGGAAGCGGCGAACAGCCCACACGACACCGGAAGCCACACACACGTCCTCTTCCGGCCGTCGGCGGAATGTCGCAAGCCTCGTGAGCAGAGAAACTCTGCGCCCGTCCTCGCATGTTCAGAGCGGTAGCATGCAGAACCGTGTCTGCTCCAGCCCGTCAGTTGAGACATCATAACGCACACCATGAGAACAGAGAGCTTGAAACTAGAACAAAGCCAGAGGAGTGCGAATGACAGAAGGCGAGTCTGCGCACGCGCGATGGGGGGGCAGCTGCGGGGGGCCCACGCCGACGCTGTCGAGCTGGGCGACTGCCTCCGGGACGTCCATGATCTTGATGAACTCGTTCCTCGGGGGGGAGCCGTCGCTGACGACGGCAGCTCTCCTTCTCCTCCGTCTCCGCCCCCTGGGGCTACCATCGAGTCTCCTTAAGCTGGATACGATCGATACGACTGCTGCTTGTATCGGGATGCTTCCATGAGTGTCAGATTACTGCTGCTGTCGGCAGGGAGCATGTGGCTAGTCCAAGACGCTTGAGCTTGAACAAAAAGAAAAACAAAAAAAAAAAAAAAAAAACAAACACGACAAAAGAAGAAACAAAGAAAAACCAAAAAAAAAAAAAAAAAATAAAAAAAAAACAAAAGGAAAAAAAATATACAAAAAAGAAAAAAAAAAAACGAAAAAATAGAAATAAAGAAAAAATAAAAAGGTAAAATAAGAAAAAAACCCCAAAGAAAAATGAAATGAAAAAAGAAAAAAAAGGAAAAGAAAAAAAAACAAAATAGAAAAAAAGGATAAAAAAAAACAACTGAAAAAAATAAAAGAAAAAGAGCCAAACAAAAAAAGGAGAAAAAATCCAAAAAAAAAAAAAATAGGAAAACTAAAAAAAAAAAAAAAAAAAAAATAAGAAGAAAACAAAGAAAATAAAAACATAAAAAAAAGAAATAACAAAATGAAAAAAATAAACAAAAGAAAACGAAAAAAAAAAGAACAAAATAAAAAAACATAAAAAAAAAAAGAAAAAAAATTAGAAACAAAAAAAAACAAAAAAAAAAAAAAAAAAAAATAAAAGAAAAGCTAGCTAAAAATAGCTTTTCACGCAAGAGCCACAACCTCGGAGATTTGGGAGGATGAAGGGTCACTGTCTTCCTGAGGCCGGCGATAGCATGGTGCACCCCCCGCGCTGTAGCTTTCGCAGCATGTGCTCAGGAGGGGTGTAGAGAATGAGAAGGAGGAGAGGATGAGTAGATGAGAGGAGGGGGAGGAGGAGGAGGAGGAGGAAGAAGAGGAGGAGGGAGAGGAGGAGGGGGAGGAGGAGTAGGAGGAGGAGGAGGAGGAGAGCTGTCCCCCCCGTGGAGAAAGTCGTCCCGCCTTGTATTGGCTCGCAGCCCACTGGTCGATACCAGCAGCTACCAGCTGCACACACCGCACCACGCGTCTGGGACCTCCGAAGGAAGGGGAAGGGAGGGAACGGGGAGGACGAGGGAGGGGGAGAGTGGGAAAGAGGGAGGAGGAGGAGGAGGAGGAGGAGGAGGAGGAGGAGGAGAGGGAGGAGGAGGACAGCCGGCATGAGGGGGAAGGGAGGAGGATGCAGGGAGAAGAGCGGAGGAGGAGGGGTAAAGGGGAGGAGGAGGAGGAGGAGGGAGGATGAGGAGGAGGAGGAGGAGGAGGAGGAGGAGGAAGGGAGGAAGAGCAGGAGGAGAGGAGGAGGAAGAGGAGGAGGAGGAGGAGGAGGAGGAGGAGCAGGAGGGGGGAGCGCAAGGGAGCAGGCGATGCCCGGCGTGGAAACCCCGGGGGCCAGGTCCGAGCTGGTCCTGGGCAGCCTTCCTGGGCAGCCTCCCGGCCAGCGTCCTCTGCCTGGCTCCGGCCGAGAGCTCTGGGCAGGCGCGGGGCGGACCATGCCCGCTGCGGGGCCCTCGATCGACCCCCGCGGCGGGGCAGCCGGCCGCCTCGCCCCGGAGCTGCTGCTGCTGCTGCTGCTGCCGCTGCTGCTGCTGCTGCTGCCGCTGCCGCTGCCGCTGCTGCCGCTGCTGCTGCTGCTGCTGCCGCTGCTGCTGCTCGTGGCGACGAGAGGCGCGCGGTCGCTGCTTTTGGGCCCTCGGCGCCCGTCGCGCCATGCGCTTTCGGGCACGGAGAGCGCGGAGCGAAGCCCCCGAGGGAAGGCTCCTGCACCCTGGAGGCGGCCGGGGGGTCTGCGCCGGAGAAGCCCCGAGGAGATCCCTGCAGAAGGGGGGATGAGAGCCAATCCCTTGGAGGGTTTCCAAACCCCCCTTCGGGCGTGTGTCCTCCCACAGGCGGATTTTGGACGAAGAATAAAAAATACAAAAACAAGAGCAGAGAACAAAAAAACTTCCGGATTGTCAAAAACAGATGAAGAATCGTCCCCTGACTACTTTCTTACTATTTTTTGAGTACTCCTCCTGTAGAGGGACGCGCCCGACTTAAGCCGACCCCCCCCCGGACCTGGGCGGGGCGCCCCGCGGCGCGCTGGAGCGTCCGAGACGGCCTGGGCGAGTGGGGGCACGCATCACCGACTGTGCGAGGGTTTGGGGCTCGCTTGGGCCTCCTGGGGACGAGGAGGAGGAGGAGGAGGGGGAGGAGGAGGAGGAGGAGGAGGAGGAGGAGGAGGAGGAGGAGGAGGAGGAGGAGAAGGGCGCTGTGGCTGTGGCTGTGGCCGCGGCTGCGTGGGCCTGAGTATGTGTAGAAATTGTTTTCATTTCCCTAACGAAGTACAGGATTCGGGCTGGGACGAGAAGTCAGGAACGAAGCCCCTTTTTTTGTCCGAGGAACACCAGGGAGGCCCGCCGCCAAAGAGGGAGCGGAACGCATGCAAACCAAAGGAACGACCGAGCCCTGTATGCTCTCCCGAGACACCCACGATGCTCCAAAAGGCCCCGGGGACCGCCAACAGGTCTCAAAGACGCCTAAATAGGACCCCAAGAAAATCTCAAGACAGATCCGAAGAGACTCGGAGAGATACCCAAGAGGCCTTCGGCCTTTCTGCTCGCCCTCCTCCTCTTTTTCCTCCTCCTCCTCCTTTTCCTGTTCCTCTTCCTCCTCCTCTCCTCCTCCTCCTCCTCCTCCTCCTCCTCCTCCTCCTCCTCCATCATCATCATCATCATCATCATCATCATCATCATCATCATCATCATCATCATCATCATCATCATCATCATCATCATCATCATCAACATCATCATCATCATCTCATCATCATCATCATCATCATCATCATCATCATCATCATCATCATCTCATCATCATCATCATCATCATCATCATCAGCATCAGCATCAGCATCAGCATCAGCATCATCATCATCATCATCATCAGCATCATGATCATCATGATCATCATGATCATCATGATCATCATGATCATCATGATCATCATGATCATCATCATCATCATCATCATCATCATCATCATCATCATCATCATCTGCCTGTTCCTCCTCCTCATCCTCCTCCTTCTCCTCCCTCCTCCCTCCTGCAACGTGTATTTCGTGCAGCCTTTAAGGCAGGGGAAGAGGGGACAGATGGAAGGAAGGGACAGTAGGGAGGGAGGAGGATGGACCACGGCATTAGCAGGAGGGAGGCTAGGAGCAGAAAACACGTGGCAGAATCAGACGGGCGGGTAGACCCTGACGGGCGGGTCGGGAAGGCAGACCCAAGCGGCCAGGTCGAGCAAGCGGCTGTTAGGCGTGATTACTGTATAATTCGCGAGGAAGTCTGGAGCGATAGTGCGATTCCCAAATCAATCGCAAGGAAGGTCACGTAATCGGACTAGGTTCCCAAAGGCCGCAGAACTGCCAGCTGAAATGTGAGAGTCGGTGCTGGCAGCTCCGCTACCATCTAGCAGAATATGCTCTTTATCATCTTGAGCCAAAATGGTTACGGCGCACACCAACTGTTATCCCACTTTGTGGGATTGATCATGCTACATGCTGCTCTTCAGATCTGCTCTCCCTGACGCTGCAGCACATGACATTAGACGCGCACGGACATGCAGGATATGCTTTGTATTCCCTGCACATGTTCAAAGGAACTCACAAGAAAGCCCACGGGCGGCTTATCAGAGCGGGCACCCCATGTCACCCCAACACCCTGTCACCCCAACACCCGAGCCCTCACACCCTAACGCCCGAACGCCGTGATCATCATCATCATCCTCGTCATCCTCATCCTCGTCATCGTCATCGTCATCATCATCATCATCATCATCATCATCATCATCATCATCATCATCATCATCATCATCATCGTCATCATCATCATGATCATCATCATCACCATCATGCCCACGCATGCGCGCCAGAGGCATTCGCACACCGCAATCAGGAATATACACAACTCTGCGGTTGGTCTGCATCTCAATTCTAATGGTTTGAAATGTATTGATTGGTACAACGTAATACCATACGATGCGCAGTAATGCAAATAACAATATGAGACAAAGCGTGCCACACTGCATGCTAGAAACACAATTCATTAGAATTGGTCATTCAGAAGTAGCAGCAAGTGGACACACAACTACGCTTCACTCAGAGAGAGCGATCTCCACCACCGCACCAACAGCACAAGTCAGAGACAGTGAAGTCGGTGTCGTCGTAGTAATCCGTGCACTCCCAATGAAAAACAGCCCAGTGCTGGCAAGTGTACCCCGAGGCGTCCGTGGCCCACTGAGAGCCGCGATTCTCGCAGTCGTCGTTTTCCTCGTAGTGGTAGTAGTAGCGGTTGGAGTAGTCGTCCATGCCGTAGTCCTCGCCGTCCGCGCTGTCGCTGCCGATGGCATCGTAGCTGGAATCTCCAGAGATACTCGGGTGCGTCATCAGGCATGCAGCAGGGCAGAAGCCCAGGTCCTCCATCCTGTTACTGACCATGAAGATGTCGTCAACACGGGTGAACTGGACGCCGTCGGGCGACAGAGACGACCTGTACATCTCGCCAAGAGAGCACCCGCACGAGACCGGGCACATGAACTGGATCGAGGAGAACTCGCCCGCGCTGCAGAGGTCGGCGTTCAACAACAACCTGACCTCGTAAGATGCGAGGTAGTCGCACCCGGTCAGGTTCCGCGGGTGCGGTACGTCGCGCATCAGCTGCCAGTGGCCATCCAGGAACGATTCAACCAAACTCCCATTCGAGATCCACCTGGCAAGCTCGCGCCTCTTGCTGTCTCTGAGGTCCGGGAACACCAGCTGCACGGAGGCCTCGACATTGTCTGGAAACGCCACGTCGGCCGTGAGGTGCTCGAACAAGCCCGCTGCAAACGAGAGCCACCATAACGCGTCTGGGGGCAAACCGCCACATTCGGCGGCGACGGTCCCGTTGACAAGGCACTCCTTTG